AATGTTTTGCTAGGAGCACCTGCCACCTGGCTAATATATGAAGGAAGTTCAAGCAGTTCAGTGCTTTCATTCCCCCATAGACATCAGAAAGATTATATTTCACAGGCATAAAACAAGAAAAAGAAGTTTTACACATCTTAAAGTACTTCAGTTGTATTTTTTGATAGTACATTGTGCCAAGTGTGCTCTTTCACGAGTTCCAAAGCCTTGTTTTGCTCATTCTAAAATGAAGTTAACACTAAATTTGGGGAGCAAAAAGATTTTTTACAGTTCTTCCTAGGGCTAGGTAGCTAGCAAATAACTGCTACTGATATTGTAAAAGTTGTTTAAAGATGGAAAGGCATGTGTTATAACTTGGCTGAGTACCTCACAGAGGGCAAATCCCTTTGAATCCCCATGATTTTAAAAGTATATGCACACCTCAGCACTTGTGCTGGCACTGTGCATTCTCACCACGTATGGTTGGGTTGAATGAAACCAAAATAAAGCAATGAAGGAGAAACTTCCAGTTTTAATATCTCTACATTTTACCTCTAATACTGGTCAGTAAAGTAATACGGCCGCATTGTACCCTTCTATAATAAGCCTCATAGTATGATGGATGGAGAACCAAGAAATGTAAGGTTTACCTCAGTTTCCTAATCATTTTCAAGTCAACGCACAAAACATGTTGAGTGCTGCAGAGAAAACAGTGTATGCAGACACTGAAAAAAAGCACTGATCCATACAGGCATACACTAGGGGTGTGAGAAATGGGCCCTATTCAATTCGGATTTGGCCCAAATCAGGGACAGTGATTCGATTAGTTGATTCGGATTGCTGTCCCTGATTCGATTCGGCCAAATCCGAATCTGAAGATTCAGTTCCGATTCAGAAAATCAGCAATTCAGCATAGAGCAACTTTAAATCTTTTTTCTACATACCTCAAGGTATCAGGCATGGCTTGTGAATGCTGCGACACTGGGGCAGATAGAGCATCCCACAGGAGCTCAAGAGGGTGTGGGGGCCCTCCACATGCTCAGTGACAAACCCAGAAGCAGACCAGAAATACTTCCGGTCCACTTCTGGGTCTGCTGGGGAGCACGTTAGGGCCGGCCCCCCCCCCCCCCCCCACCCACGGGCCCCCCCCCCCCCCCCCCAAACTGGCGATTGGCTATGGGGGGACCCCGGGTGCCCCCTGCAGACCCAGGAGGCAACAGTTGCTGTGTCAGGTGGGGGGGCTCCCAAGCAGACCCAGAAGTGGACCAGAAGTGCTTTTGGTCCATTTCTGGGTCTACTGGTGAGTGCGCTGGGGAGCCCCCTGTGCTCCTGTGGGACACACTATCCGCCCCAGCATTGCAGCATTCACAAGCCACCTAGTACCTCGAGGTATGTAGAAAAAACATTTAAAACTGTGTCTATGTCCAAATCGCTAAATCTCTCAGAATCAATTCAGAGAGATTAAAGGGTCTCCTGATTAGATTTGTACTGGGAGATTCGGCCACCGAATCGAATCAGCGACCAAAGGTTTGCACAGCCCTAATATATACCACCCCCATCTATATCCAGGAAGTTCAAATTACATCATCTCTGCAAAGCAAACCTCCCTCCTATAGCACTCACTGGGATACTGCATCCCAACACAACTTCACAGTGGTCCAAAGGCTAAGAGACATTTTTTTGTATATAACTTCTGGCACTTCCAACCCAAGCACCACTTCCCCCCAGAACCAAATTGCCACCACCAAATCACTGCCAATATCAGGACTTTGCAGACCAGATGGAATTGCCTGGCAGGCTGGATCCATCCTGATTGCTGTAGTTTGCCAACCCCTGATCTAGAGTATGAGGAACATCTGAAGGAAAAGAGCACAGGCTGGAATCAAAGTTAAATAATAATGCAAACTTCAGACACGTTAATATAATATTGAAATGGAGCGATTCAGCATACAAAGGTCAGAAAACTAAGTGCAAGATTTTTTTTTATAACTTCTGTGCAAAATACATGAAAAATATGCACATAAAGTAATGATCTTAATCCACATGTAGGCACTCCTAAATGTCCAGCAGTTTCCATTGACAGAGTACTAACCTGTTTATTGACCTCAGCCATTGAAAGCTGTAAAGCCATAAGCATACAGTCTGCTCCACACACAGTTGTTCTTTCTGAGTCTGAAAATAGATGCCATTGTCTTCTAAAACTCTTGACCATATTTAAGATCTTTTGCTGAAAGGCAGCCATGTTCCTACAATAGAAGTCAGAGAAAGTAAGGTAGATTTTTAACTATCAGAGAAGTAGAATTCAGGAATGGACTTCCAAGCAAAGCAGTGGAGAGAAGGAACATGCATCTTTAAGACTGAATTGAATAAGCTTATGGAAGGGAAGGTGATAGGACAGGGAGCGTGGCAACATCAAGCAATGCATGATGTGAAGTCATGTGTTTATACCCCAATCTGGAGACTGCAAGAGTATTTCCTATAGAGTGGAAGGCGTCTTTTAATCCCAAACCTCTGGGTTTTGGTTCATCTCAATCTCCTCAACTTTTCAGATCCCATAGTTCATCTGGTGCCCCTCAAGTTTCCTACAAAGCACTCAGCCCATCCTCACCCAATATAAACCACCTCCTTCTTTACAATGGATCTTCACAGTACTGTTTTTCCAGTTATTTAATCCTACCCCGTCACCCTCTGAATCCCTTCTTTTGGAGAGGGGAGTGATCAAACTGAAACAAAACACTTATTGCCACATTAAAGCTGAGACCCAGACGAAAATTTGAGGGCAAAAGGGCAAGTGGTGGGAGGACAAAGCAAGAGATGCAAAAGTTTTATGATAGCCATGACAGTTTCTTCAGCGCAACCAAAGCTATCTATGGGTCAAGTGCATAAGGAGCCATTCTTTTGAGGTCCAAGGATGCAACACTATCTAAAGACAGCTCCAATATAAAAGCAAGGTGGGATGAGCACTTTCAAGAGCTCCTGAACTGAGACTCTTATGTGAAAGACAATACCGCTGAAGCCATTCCACAACCCCATTAACAATTACTTTGCAGATCCACCAACTTATCAAGAAGTAAAAGCAAATAAGCAGATAAACAAAGCATCTGATCCTGATGGAATACCAGCTGAAATTTATAAGCAAGGTGGAAACATATCCTCTCATCAACATGTCTTATTGTGAAAATCTGGAAACCTGAACAGATACCCAGTGACTTGAAAGAATCATTACCATGTTCAAGAAAGGAGATATATTGCAGTAAACACTGTGATATTGCACTCCCGCTCACAGCTGGGAAGATCCTTGCCTACATTCTTGTCAGCAGACTCACTTTCCTCACTGAAGAGATTTTACCCAAGCCCTGGTGTGGTTTCAGATCACTCCGATGGACAGAGGATATGATCTCTGTTGCTAGACCTGACTAAGGCCTTTGATTCAATCAACAGAGAGGTTCTTTGTAAGATACTAATGAGATCTGAATGACTGCCAAAATTGGTTACCATTATCAGATTTCTTCATAACAGAGCCACAAACCTCCTGAGCAATGGTGCAAAAATGGACTCCTTCACTATTAGGACTAGAGTCAAGCAAGGATGTGCAACTGCACCAGTACTTTTCCATGTACATCATAGCTATATCATATTTAATTGCTGATGGACTTCCACCTGGAGCCTGCTGCAGTCCAGTATTACATGGATGGGAATCTCTAATATCAGCTGGTTACATTTCAAATCCAAGATAACCAACACCTTCATTACGAATTTCCAACATGCCAGCCTGTGTCATGCATGCCCACTCAATTGAAAAGCTCCAGGTCATTTTGGATTGCCTCTGTGAAGCATACGAAATGCTTGGCCTCACTGCCAACTTCACAAAAAATGCAATACTTTACCAACCCACCCCAAACCAATCAGCTGCTCCACCACATATTACAATCAGAAGGCAAAGATAGTTGAGCATTTTCCCTATCTAGGTAGCCCCCTTTCCCAAAAAGTAAACATAGACAATGATATTCAACACCGGATAAAACCTGCCAGCGCTGCCTTTGGATGTCTCCAAAATTGTGTCTTCAATGACCATGACGAACTTCTCGCCTACAGGCTGCGGTCATCCATACCCTGTTGTATGGGTGGGGAACTTGGACAACATAGCAGAAACACCTGGAAGCTTTGAAGCACTGCCATCGGCGATGCCTGTGAAAAATCCTCCATACCAGCTGGAAGGACAAATGAATGAACGCCTGTCTTCTGGCTCAAGCAAACACCACCAGCATTAAAACTGTGTTTACACAGCACTAGCTCCGTTGGAAAATACACGTCATAGGATGGCCAATAACCAGCTCACAAAACATATCCTATGCTCCCAAATCACCGATGGTCACCCCTCTAGGGGTGGGCAAGGAAGAGATGCAAGGATATCTCAAAGGCCAATCTGAAGAAATGTCATAGTAGCATCAATACCTGGGAAACTCCAGCACTGAGTCAGCCCCTGTAGCAGCGTGATGCATGACAAGGCATCAATCATTTTGAGCAAATTCACTTCACTAAGAGGTGTATAGATGAGAGAGAGACAAGACAGACCTGTGACCCTACATCACCAGGATCTTCCTGTTCCTTCCTCCCTGAACTATTCACATCTGTTGTTGAACACGTCGATCTCAACTCAACCTCTGAAGTTATTTGTGGACTCACTGATGACTTCCCTGTTCACTGGAGTACCCTTATTCACCAGCCGAGGACAAATCCTACTCCTTGCCCTTCCCTAAATCCCTTCTTGGAGAAGGGGGTGACCAGCTCAATCTCCACCCCATGCAATGTGTCATTTGGCCTGTACCGCTCCCCATAGCTCTGGAGATCTGGTGGCAGGGAAGCACTGTCACTTCCGGGCTGACAAGCCTCTGGTCCCCTGAGGAGCCTGTCGGGTCCCGCGGGGAGGCTGGATGACAGGACTGCATGGGCTGGAGATGGACCACTACTAGCATTCAACACACCCCAGGTGTACTGGACTGTACACCTGACTGCACCACCTCTGCATGCATCCATGCGTTGTGCATCTGACCCCAGCAGCCTTCCCTGCCCAAGCGCAGAGGGGGCG